TTTGAGTAGGTAATATTTTGATCAAACTACTGTCCCTCAATCTCTCTGACTTGGTTTTAAGCATAGGTCAGATCTTTAAGCAGATCTGTACATGAAAGTTCTACTGACTTCTGGGGAATTTTGACTGCTTAAGAGCTTCATGCAAATTTATCTCCTCTAATTATACAGAAGTACATCTTCTGCATGTGAAGTTTTTGCATGAGTTTTTTTTACCATTTAATTATTGAAAAATATAAACTCTTCAAAACTGCTGAAAAGAAAATTACTAATAAGACTGAAAGGTGGAAGTGGGAGTGAACTGAATTAAAATCATGAACTGAAAAACTCTAGGGTAGGACAGCCTGGGTGTACAATTCTAGCCATCAAGAGGCTGAGGCAGAAGGACAAAGGCTAGCCTGGCTATACAGAGATTCTCAACAAAACAAAACAAAATCTCCCCAAACTTCCATTGAACTAAGTATTGCTGCTCAGCTGAATTTGTTTAAGGGATTACTTAATGCAAATAACTATCACTTAAAGAAAGATATATCTTGGGGTCACTAAAATATCCTGATAATCTACATTTATAATTACTATGAAAATGAAAACTTCACATAAAAGCTAAAAACTGCATGTTGATTTATCAGGTCCTCAGAAAAGACATTTCATTCTCTTATATTCTAGTTGTGAATGCAAAGAAATTAAATATCATTAAATGTTATGTTTCAGTGATAATAATTGAATTGTATATCCATTTGTTAAAAGAACACATCAACCTTACAGTTATGGTTATTTTACTATATATTTTTTGTTCTTTTTTTTTTTTTTGTTTAAAGACAAAATGTTACTGTGTAGCCCAGGTTGTCTCAAATGTGTGATTCTCCTGCTTCAGTTTCCTAGGTTCTAGAATTACAGGCATCCACTACTACATCTGACTTGGATGGTATTTTATGTAGATCCCTATCCTAGTATTCATACTTTAGTGTAGCTAGACTGTCTCCTCTTGACTGTCAGCAAATGAAGACAGAGACTAGTGTTGCTTTCGATCTCTGAATCCCCAGAGCCTGCCTGGCCAAGTACTTGGCACACAGTAGGTATTCAAAGCTAACTGTTGGGCTGGGAAGGTGGCTCAGCGGTAGCGTGCTTGCTTTGCATGCCTGAGGCCCTGGGTTCGATTCCTCAGCACCACATAAGCAAAAAGAAAAAAGCCTGAAGTGGCGCTGTGGCTCAAGTGGTAGATCGCTAGCCTTGAGCTGAAGAGCTGAGGGACAGCACCTACACCCAGAGTTCAGGCCCCACAACCAGACCCCCAAAAAATAAAAAAAGAAACAAAGCTAACTGTGGAGGACATGAGTAAATAAATGAATACTTTTCGTATAGAAGTTAACAGTTGTTACACAAGGAGAAATATCTCCATCCACAAGCAAGGAGTCTACGTAAAACATTGTGCTGCTACCATTCTCAAGTAGATAATCACGAGTGCTCATAATCTCTTTGACTCATATGAATTTTGGACACTTTGCCAAATAAATCATTTCTTGGAATCTGATCATGAGTAAATAAATTAATATCAAAACCCAAAGCAAATTGAGTACTCACCCTGGGGGTTTCTTAAATGTGTATATCAATAGGAAGACCATAAGGTAATTTTTCTATACACAATGACAGTTGAAGTATAGCAAGTTAAATCCTATAACAAACTGAAACCCTTTAAGCACTTTCTGGAGTTTAAAACTCCACATAGTCAGGTCCATGCCTGTGGCCCTAGATACTCAGGAGACTGAGGCAAAAAGGATTACTTGAGCACGCAAGTTTGAAAACAACCCAGGAAATATAAGGAGACTCCATTTCAAAATGTATACCAACATGCAAACGTACATTAAATTCCACATTCTCATCAAAACGGTCATCAGGATAAACTTTTGACTCAAGATTCCAACATAAATTGAACAAAATTCATCTGAGAGTTTTTCATTTCAATAATCCATTCTACATGCTATCACTTATACGAGATTATAATAGCTTATAACCTACTATCCTGATGTTTCCTTGAATAATGTGGGAATGAAATTGTGATATGGAAAATCAATGTAGAACAAATATCTCTGGGAATCTGTATCAAATTAATTATTGTGAGAACGGAACTGGCAATATATCAAGAGGATGAGTGGGTGTTATTAGCACAGTAACTATTGACTGTATTGTCCTGAGCTCCAGGCTTTGCAGAATTTTTATGTGAACACCAATCCTGACTTCATTTTTACTTTCTTCCTTTAGCATTTATATTTCCATGTGAATATCAAACAATGGTGGATTCTGTAGTTTTTATCCTCTCTGGCTATCATTTTTGGAGGTCTAGGGGCATTTTAGTCAGTGCATGGAAAATAAACTCTCTCCAAATCCTTGAACTTCCTTTAAATTCTATTCAAGTCAGAGGAAGGCAAAAGAAATGAAATGAAGATACTCTGTCAAGGAATCAGTTTGTCCTAATGGATTTGGCTTGCTAACTAGAAACAGATATACAGTTGTTGAACTTTATGAATACTACTTGTTAAATGTACTGTAAGAAATGAAAGTTTTTAAAAAGAAATGATTTCAGATTGTAGAATTTGGATTCTCTCGTTAAATCTATGGAAATTATTTTAAGCATGAAATTATCCTGAAGTTTTTATAGATCACTCATTGCTACCTCTTGAAAAGCTGTGCACATTTTCTTCTTTTATAGCTTATTGAGATCTTTTATTTCCTCCAAAATTTGTATCAGAATAGAGTAAGAATTTAACAAAAGCAGACTTATGGTAATTGATGTTTGGTAGTTGAAGAAAGTGTAAGGTTTTATGTGAATGGATCTCTATATATGTTATTTTGTATTTTATGTGTATATTATAATTTGAATTTTAATATTGCCAATACCCAGTTCCAAAATAAAAACTTTAGGATATAGGAAGTCAAGAATAACCTTTTTATTAATTAATTATGAACCTAAATAAATTATATTACTTTTAACAAGCAACAGGAAATTAAAACCAATTAAAATTAGTGTATAGGAAGCAGTAACATTATTTTAAAGAAAAATGTCAGTGCTATAAGTAGTTTTCTTATTCTGTTGAACTTTGAGCCTTTAAGCAGCCTGCTTACAAAATGGGATCACATATAAAATAAGAAAAAAGAATACAAGTCTTTTCAAATGAAGTAAGTTATTTATAAGCATATAAGCATTACTAGGATATGACACTGCTTTTAAACTCTTGTTCTGAGCACTGTCTATTTTGGAAGAGAGCAATGGGAATTCTGTTAAGTGCTCATTGGCCATACAATATAGACCAGCAAAGGGCCCTGAACCACAGCTCAGGTTAATTTGCATTCACCAGAGTACATATAGTCTCCCCATCTGTGGTCTCCAGGCAGGGGGAAATTGGGCTACTTTAACATCTATTTTTAGCTATCCAGAGCTGCTAAAAATCTCTTGATCTAGGGCTAAGAAATGTTTCTAGAATTGTTTTTTTCTTCATATTCATGCATATTGTTTTCCGTGGCTATTAATTTCTACCCTATCAAACAAGCAAGGCAACTGAATATTTAGAAATGTCTGGGAAATGACAAGATATTACAGAATTAATTGATTTATAAACCCTTATTTTTGCACATGTGCAGATCGCTTAGAAATTCTTGGTAGCAATCTTTTTCAGGTCTCAATTTGTGGAGTATTCCATTAAGCAGGAGGTAGTTCTTGGGCAAATACTATTGTCTTTGTGACTTTAGATTGTAATTGAAAAATCCTCATTTAACAATTTTATCTTGTTAAACATTTGAACAAATTTGCAAAAGAGCACTGAATGAATTTTCAAAGGGTGTAAATCTTTAACATATGGAAATAATAATAATAAAAACCATTTAAAATGTGCTAACAGGTAAAGCCAGAATGTACCAAGTGACAGTGCAATTCATGCAGATTTTATCATGGCCACAAACCATTATACTATGAAATTATTCTCGGTAACTCCTTAGCACTGTCAGCCAAAATTGGATGTTGATCAATATTTATTTAATGTATGAATGAGATAATTTAGAAATATCTACTAACCTATGTGTATATAGCTAAAGTATTCTCATGATAGATAAAACTATTTTTTCTTTAAAATAGGGCTTTGTCTTTCCAAGTTAAGGTATTAAGAAGTTTCCTCTATGAGAACATACAAACAAAGGTTTGACGACCTTTTCTATTGTACTTTGCGGTTACATAAGATTCCTTTAAGATCCTATTTTCTTTATTTCTGCTCCCCAAACCACACTCTCTCTCTTTCCCTCACTTCCGTGCTTGCTCTCTCTGTCTCATTTGACAGGCAAATTTGCAGACATTGCCGCAGGATAACAACCTCGTTTGACAGTCAATTAACCGTGAATAGTCAAAGCCAAGGCAGTTTGCATTACATAAATGGAAAATTAGATTCCTTTTTCCCAAGAAACAAAACCCTCTCCTTAAGACACTGCAATAGACAACTTAGTATCAAAACTTCTAATCACGTCTTTCCCAAACCCCTTGGAGACATTTAGCAATCAGTAAAAGGTGGTTTCATTTAATTTGTATAATGTAATTTTTGTAAATGTATTATACATTTTGTGTAGAGATCATTATCATGGAGATAATATAAATGTTGGCATAGATGTCATAAAACACCTTTAATGTCTTTCTGACAGATATTAAAAGCAATAAGCTGTGATCCTTTTTAATGGAAGGTTTCTAAGAGAACATTTCAATTATTGTCATTTTATGCTTTTCCAGCCTGTTTCATTGTGTAACCTGATATATTTCTGAATTTTCTCCTGAAATATGCCCAGCAATTAATAATCTTATTGCTATTAATGTCACTGCTTTCCCATTTGTGTTTTTCTTAGTTATATCTACTAGGAATTGTTTGTTATCTTTACCCTTGCACTAAATATTCAGTCTTTTGATTATGAATTTCAGCCCCTCTCTCTGCCATATGATGCTTTATTCCTCCTATTTGTTCCCAGCCTACCTGATCTCTCTCTCCAAAAATCTCCTCCAGAAGCATCAGAGTCTGTGATGAAGAAGCTATGCTCCTTGTTCTTATCTAGAACCAAAACAAAGCACAAGTGATCAGTCAAGTAAGGCAGAAAGATGTCCAAGATATTTAAAGGAGGAGTATACTGCTTATTATACCTAAGTTTGAAAGAGATTAGGTTTAATGAGAGACATCAGAAAGTTCTTGTCTCCAGAATGTGCCAACTCTCCAGAGTACAATCACATCTAAGAATTTCAACATGTATGTATATATTTAGGCATGTTTAGAGAGTTGATATCATTTAAATGCAAAAAGGTATGCTGAGCTTCAGGACAGTGGCACTATTATTTGGAAAATTACCATTGCTTGGAAAGTACAGAAATGCTGCCCTTTCAAATATAAACTGTGATGTCTTTTTTTTTTTAATGTATAAACAAACAGAATATTGGTAGTGGGAAGATGGAGAGGCATGGAGTGAGTGTCATTGAAATGACCGAATGCAGGAATCTGAAGTGGTGGTACAAGTTTCTTTTACCTGAAAAGTTGTTGTCATCCTTTGTAGATACAATAACTTGGTTATTTTCCTTAGTTTTCTGATTCTGTGTGGAGAAGAATTAGACACACAAATCAATGCCTGCATCAAGCCATATGCTAATGTCAACAGTCAGCAGGAAGAGGCATCAATAAAAGTGACTCTATGTGGCCTCAGGAGACATCATTTTTTGATGATCATCTTCTCTGGATAGTTTCTGTGCTTAAATACACTTGTGGGTCTACAAAGAACTTTCACTAACCCTTAAGAAACATTCTGGATTAACTAAACTATGTGCCTATTGTGGCCCCTGTAAATAAGCACACCAAGCTGTTTGTCACTTAGGGCAGAGACACTTCTCTCAGAGGCCTCTGAGTGTCCTGAGTACACTTGAGTGAACACTGAACTCTGGACCATTTAAATTTAACTCTGCCTTTTTAGGGATTCTAGATAGAAAATTTCAGCTAGTAGAGATGTGTTTTGGAGAAGAGGCTGGCAGGAGATTCTGTCTTTATGTTTTATGGGACATGCATCTTACAGATGGGTCCATTCTGGCTAAATCTTGATTCAAGCAGTTAAAATAACAACTTTTGAAGCCAGTGTATTTTCATTTCTGGGGGGGGGGGGGGCAGTGAGGTTGGTGTTCTTGGTAGGAGGAGGAGCTGAACTAGAGAGAATGGGGACAGGATTATTCCAATGGCTCCCAATTTTTGTTCCCTATGCTTCTAGGGGAAGGGGTGTGCTGAGCTGGGTGCAAATGAAGATTGCTGGACTAGAAAGGATTCCTTCAGTTTAAGGGTCTTTCCCAGTTTTCACAGCAGTCAATTTAAACGTAAGAGGCCTCGAACGCCTTAGAAGGCTTTATTAGAAAGACACCAGAAGCCACATTTTTTTAAAATAGAGGAACATGGTAGGAAAGAAGTCCTCCCAAACACACTGAATATTTCATTTCTGTGGGGAAAATCTGGTGATTCATCTTGCCTGCGCATATGTAACCGATTCAGCCTAAAGGTGCATTTAAATAATAATAATTAGCTTGAAGGAGCCTAAAGGGGATATTTACATCTTTGTAGGAGGGCTGCTGCTCCAGTGATGGATGGTGGACGGGACTGCCGGGGCTGCTGCCACTGCCACCGCTGGCTTTCTGGGGCGCCAGGGGCGGGGGTGGGAGCGAAGGCAGGTCCGAGCCCCCGGGGTCACCCAGTTTCCCGTCCTCCTGCAGCAGCCTGGAGGAGTTCAGGGCGAGTGGGAAAGCGCCCGGGGCGGCAGTGGCGCGGTTCCTGCTCCCCTTCTCCGACAGCCCTCGGCCCTGGAGGAAGCGGCCACCCGCAACTAAGGGGTCTCCTAGCAGCACTCTGGTCTCCTCGTCTTCCTCCTCCTCGTCGTCAGGGTCTCGACCTTCCTCTTCCTCTTCTTCGCCCTCGGGGGGCTTGTGGCCCTCCACGTCCACTTCCTGCTCTTCTTCCTCGTCGTCCTCGTCTCCGGAGCTGTCCTCGCTGGGGTAGCTGCAGCTGGTGCCCCCCGGGGACAGAAGGCCTCGGTGGTGCGGCTGCTGCGGGGCCAGCGGCGGCGGCGGGGGAGGCGGCGGCGGCGGGGGCGCTGGGTGGTGGCGCTCAGAAGCTGGCTCGTCGGGCTGCGGGGGCAGCAGCAGCAGCGGCGACGGTGGCTGCGGGGGATGGTGGTGGTGGTGGTGATGGTGTGGTTGGTGGTGGTGGTGATGGTGGTGGTGCGCTTGGGCCGAGTGCAGCTTGGCCAGACTCTCCGCGTCGTCCTTGCCGCCCACCGGCCGGAAAGCGCTCGAATGGTGGTAGCCGCCGCCTCCCGCCTTACGCCCCTCCAGGAGGTGTGCGGGGTGCGGAGCCGGCACGCGGGCGCTCGCCGGGCCGGCCCCGGAGGACGCGGCGCCCGCCCCGGACGTCGCCGCGGGGTCTGCGGGCGGCGTGGATCCCGCGCTGCAGTCCCCCCCGCTGCCGCCCGGGGGCGACTCGAAGAGCGGGTCGCGAGCGCCGGCGCCCCCCGCCGGCGGCGGCGGGCCGGAGCCGGGGCCGTTGGCCACGACCGGAGGGGGCTGACCCGGAGGGGGCGCGGCATCCGCGCTCCCGCCCGCACTGCCAGGCTCCGCCAGGTCCAGGAAAGCCTGGCGCAGCAGGGCCGGGCTGTCACCAAGGGCGCAGCCGAGCGCAGAGGGAGGTTGCGGCGGGGGCTGCAGGTAGGTGGGCACAGGAAGCCCACCGGGGGTCCGCGGCGGCCAGAACATGCAGAAGGGCGGGTAGAAGGCGTCCTTGCGGCCTGCGGGCCAGAAGAGACCCGACAGCCCGGCCTTGGGCGCTGCACCTGCGCTCCCGGCGCCGGCTCCCCCCAGGGCCTCGGCGGCTGCGCCCGAGTCCTCCTTCTTGTGGCACAAGCCAAAGGCGGCGGCGGCGGCCGGGAAGGTGTAAGGGTGCGGGAAAAGGCCCCCGCAGCCCGGGAACTTCTGCAGGACACCGCCAAAGGAGCCCTTGCTGGGCACCGGGATGACCGGGTAGCTGCGCGGGCCTTTGGCGCCGGCTGCTGCGCCTGACCCCGCGCCGGCGCCCACGCCGACAGCGGTCACACAGCCGCCCCCGGCGCCGCCCCCGCCCGCCCCGGCGCCTCCCGAGGCCGCGGCCACCGAGAGGCTGGCGGCGGCCGCCGAGAGGCTGGCTGCCGCCACGACGGCCGCCTCCTGGAGGGAGTCCTCGTCGTCGTCGAAGCGCGGCCTCTTGTGATGGGCGTGCGGGGCTCCCGCCAGCTCGGCCAGAGGCGGCGGCGGCGGGGGTGGCGGCGGCGCGCCGAGCAGGTGCGGGCCGAGCAGACCCCCGCCTCCCGCCACCGCCGCTGCGGCGGCCACGGCCGCGGCCTTGACGGAGCTGAGCGGGTGACAGGCGGGGTGCGGGCCCGGCTGGGGCAGCGCGCGCTTGCGGCTCCCGCCGTTGAACATGGCCTTCACGTCCTCCCAGGCGAAGACCAGCTCGTCCTGAGGGCTCTTGTCGGTGAGCTTGAGATGTCGGCGCCAGGAATTGAAGTTGGCGGCATCTGGCTGCGTGTACTTGGCGTCGGGCGTGCGGTGGGAGTGGAAAATAAACTTGTTGGGCGAGAAGTACATGTTGCAGTAGCTACATTTGATGCATTTGGCGCGGGAGCTGTTGTAGCGCGCGGGGATGAAGCTGCCGCGGCAGCCCCACGCGCATTCGTGCGACACGTCGAAGGCGAAGTTGTCGGGCAGCTTCGGCGGCCGGTTTTCGCCTAAGAACGATTTGCACAGACGCTCGGCCTCGCGCTTGGTGATCATGCCGCAGCGGCGTGAGGAGATGGGCATGGCCCCCGCGCGCCGCAGGATCTCCAGCTGCACAGGCGTGCACTGGACGCACGTGATGCCCAGCGCCACGCGGCGGTTGTGGATCTCGTTATAGCTGAAGTTCTTGAGGAGCGTGTTGGAGATCTGTGCCAGGCACAGGCGCTCCTGCCCATCGATCACCAGCGACACGATGGGAATGCCGTAGAGGATCACCTGGCCCACCTGGTTGGGTTTGAGATTGGCGTGGCCTGGCCGCGGCTGGTTCAGCGCGTCGGGCTGGAAAGCGCTCGAAGGCGAAGCCAGCAGGATGTCATTGGGCCCCGGCAGCGGACTGGAAGCCATCTCCTCCGCCGCGGAACCCCAGGCCGAGCCCTCCGGGTCTGCCTTGGAGACTGGAAGGGAAAGGAGAAAGCATTGACTTGAGCCTTTCCATTCTAAAACAGGGGTGGGATGAGTTGCTAAGTGAAGAATTACAATCACTTCTTTGCTTTAAGACACGGTACTAGGCAAGTGGTCAAGTTTCAGACGCGAGAGCTACTTCCTTTCATTTTCACGATCTTCCTTTACAAAGTGCAGCGATTTGGAGGTAGCAAATTGCCTTCAGTCCTACACATGTGTACGTAAAGATATATATTTAAATCAGTCCATTGCTAACAAACTCAAAACCTAAGTTATAGAAGCTGTTGGAATAAAATAATAGGCTCGCTAGAAGTGAGAACGTAATGACAGTTGTAACTCGTACAGATTGTAGAAGTTGTGGATAAGTAGGGCTTGATAAAACTCAAAATTCAAAGAGAGGTCATTCATAGTTGCTTTAAAACGAATTGATTTTGGTTAAAAACACAACCCCAAACCTTTGTAAAAGCGATTTTTGTGGTATCTGTGGTTTCCTTGGGGGAAACTCACTACTGGTTGAAGCACAGCTCATTAAAGCAAAACGAAATCCCCTCTGTACCGCCCTTGCTATTGGATATTTTGTTACTGCAATTAGAATTGTTTTTGGAAAGGTGAGAAAACATACAAAACATATATGATTGCACCAAAATAGAATATTTTACTTTCAACAACAATTTATTTGTTGAACTGAGCAATTCTGGTTCCAGACAAGTAGCTGAAATAGATGAAGACCTGGAAACATTTTAAAACAGTTTTCTTGTCATTTTCATGACAAGGTGCTAGTCCGTACAGGCAATGTTAAACAGTGCAAAGAAATGTGTTGGAGGGATCATTTTCGATATACTCGAAAAAAATTCAGTTTACTGCAAACCACCTTCTGTGACATTTTTTTCCTCGTCTGTTTTGCTTTATATCTTTCTTGGAGAAAAAGGTGCCCATAAATGATAAATACTAGAATAGGTAACCCGGGGACAGAAGAAATGGAAACACAAGGCTGAGTCTGAGATAAAATTCCTAATTTCATCTCATAGCAACGGGATAACCACAACACGGAAAATATCTAATAAGTTGAAAAAATACCGAAAAAGCAGGTGGTAGGTACAGTTGTGACAATACTAGTAAGTTGAGACAAGCTAGGAAAACGAACAGTGACCTTTCCATAGCTACTTGCCCAATGCATAGGCCAAAACGATCCTTTGCCCTGGAAAATCACCCACGGCTATAGTATAGCCCCCTCTCTGCCAATATCCAGGATTTTGGTTCTTACAGCAATTTCAGAGGCTACACCATCCTATCGCCTCACTCAACTTGTCATACCCAGGCTCCTTCTTTGACACCTGCAGCCTCTATGTAAACCACCTTTGCCTTTTATATTGCCAGTGTCTGCCCTTCTGCTCCATGGATCCTCAACTCTCATTATCACCCATGGGCTCCAGGAAAGCCAAACAAACCTCGACGCAGTTGAACTCTTGGAGAGCCTAGCTTGTCACTTCGGATGGATCAGAGACAATATTTCCAGGGGACAGGGCGTTAAATGGCAGTTCAAGGTGTGCTGATGCCTGAGCCTAACACAACCAACTCTAGCTTCGCCAAATGGCCCTTCAGTGCTTATTTCCCTCCCAAACAAGATTATCTCAATAAGATGCCAACTCCCCAGAAACGTGCACCAGGAGCAGAAAGCACCCGCACATTAGGAACCTGCACATGCAGCCTTAGCAGCAGCGAAAGATAGGACCAAAATGTCTCCTCTTGGGTGTCCTCCACTTTCACCTTAAACCCTCCCAGAACCCCAGTCTGAGCGGAGAAACAAACCAGAAGGATCAAGTTGAGATACATTTTGTAAGGGTTGAGAAGAGCGATGACAAAAGTTAGTTGAACTGCGAAAGGAACCTGACGAACTTCTCCATTCGGGTCACTAGCTAATCACCCCCAACTTAATACTCCCGGGCCCCCCACACCCATAATCACGGTAGCCTGAAGCTGCCCCTCACCCAAATGCGGAAAATTCCATTGCTGGAATCGCCAAATAGTGAACCCCGAGTTGTGTGCCGAGTCAGGGCCAGTGAATTCTGGCAGTACCTGGGAACCCTTAGATGTCTTTAGACGAGTGGCTGCCAGCCCATCTTCCGAGGGCGCTCGGAGGCGAAGCATCCAAGCGGGTCCTCGAATCCAGCGGGGTGGGACTCCGGCTGGCTCCGCGCGAAGATCCTGGCGCTAGTGAGAGCTAATGGCGCTCAACCCCGGCTGAGGGGAGTGGGGAGGGCGGTGTTGAGGGACTGAATAGCAGCAGGGTGTCCCCCCCCCCTCACTGCAGAAAGCGTGGGCTTGGAAAGCCGAGGCAGCCGAGCCCCCCAAATGGAGCGCAGTCTGACAGCGCCTTTCTCTGTTTCTGAACTCGTGTCGGACCGAGGGGACGCCACCCAGCGGGCAGGGTGACGTCACTGTCTCCCTGACACTCCACATTAAAGGGCTGGCATGTTACAGGGAGGGAGGGGGAAAGCGAGAGCGAGAACAAGCGACACAGGGATCCTTTCTCAGCTGGCACCAAAGCTACTACCTTAACTAGCTTGCAACTGACAACCTCTCCAACTCGGGAGCAAACGCAGCAGTGTGGCTAGAGCCGCAGATGTAATTTTTGAAAGCTTACGTGCATCCAAGGGGATCTGGATTTTGGAGGGCAGGAATTCTACATAAGACTATATAACTGTATGTTTGCCCATTTTTGTCCCCCTCTCTTTTCTCTGTGTTACCCTGCTCCACAAGCAGCCCACAGTGCAAACCAGTAGGCTTTCTTTCTTTCTTTCTTTTTTAACCAGTAGGCTTTCTGTGTCTTCGAAGACACAGAATCCACAGCGATTTGTTTGAAACACTGTGAAATGAGAAAAAAAAAGGGGGGGGGGAAGCAGAAGTTTCCCCATAGGTTGCCCAATCGAAACTGGGAAGGAAGCACGAAGAATGGACCTCATTTTGCATTTAAATTGTACTTTTAAGGGAGAGTTACAGTGTGTCTCTAGCTTTCTCTGTTTTATGCGCTATTGTGAGGACACCCTCGTGTGCCTGTATACCATCACCCCTCAACTTTATTCAGAATAGTTCTCTAACTCATTTTTATAAGGTCTAGTGAGGGCACTTTATCACCCAGAAAATGGGACGTAGTGAACCAAGAAACTTACTGGAATAAGCTTCCAGATCTCCTGGAGAAGTAAATTTCTTAGGGATTCAATAAGGATCCTCACCTCTCCACCTAAAAGGGATAACTAGAATGAGAAAGAACCTTTCTTCATAGTTCCCAAAACAAGGCAGACCTCACATATTAGTGAAAGGCCAACTGTTATCTCCTAATGGACCAGCTCTTAAGAGTCAAAACAACCACTGGCTAGTGTATCCAAAAGAAAATAGCTGTTTATTTAGACGATGTTCTCAGAAGGTTAAGGGCTGAGGATGGGCAGGTGGAAAAGAACCTTAAAGTTTTTCCTTTCCCCACAGAGCTGAATTTTTAATTGTCCCCTGTGTTTACCTGTGTTTTAACACAGGCTTTGAGATGGGCATTACATTGTGGAAATGAGGGAACAATCTTCATTAACCCTGACCAACAGAGCGGGCCATAGCATCAACAACACAGCACAAGAATAAAAAAATGTAAGACATTAATATTTCATCAAAGGTTAACAAGACCAAGGATAGTTATTTGAATAGAAATGTGAGGGGCTTGTTGCTTAGGAGTTGCAGATTTTTAAAAAATGTCTTGAAAACAGTTTCAGAGGCATGAAAATTGTGCTGCTTATTTGGGTTGAAGTTTCAAATGACAGGTGAAGCAATTTTCACCCATCCCCCTGTGTCTAAAGGCATTGATGGCACCAATTAGGTCCTTTCTAATGGAGCTGAAATCAACTGAATACTTTCCTCCCACCCCACCCCCATCCCCCCAAAAAGGAAAACTCAAGCTTTCTGCCTGCCAAGCCCACTTACCAGAAGAGCACTATAGTCATTCTCAAATCTCATCTCCAGTAAGACTGAAGGCCCTCCTCTTACAAAGATTCCCTGTTCAAAAACTAGCTTTTTTCCTCCCTCCTCTCACATTCCCTCTTGGGATACCACAAAGCAATTTTCACTGTCCCCAGTGCCTGGACTATCAAAAGAAAATAAAACCCCAAATTGGGGTAGGTTTTAAGACTGAAAACAAAAACAAAAACCAACAACAACCCACAAAACAAGTTAAGAGAAGTTGGTTCATCTCATTAGGTACCACAGGGAAATACCTAGGCAGTGAGTAGGAGAAGAGACACCCTCTGGACTTTGCTCTTTGGGTAAGCATTTTGCATTCAAAAGGCCTCTCTTCCCCTAACAGAACCCTGCTCAAAGTGTCTGGGGAAAAAAATCATTCTTTGAAAAGAAAACCAGGCTGACTCTTGCTTTTCTCAGGTTATCCTGGAGGAGTGAACCCCCACCTGGGTGTTAGCTGTGGTTACCTCCTGCTCACTTAAATCTTTAAACATAAACATGTACACTGTACTTTGGGGGTATCTGTATATAAGCCTGTCACTTTGTTTTAATACAAAATCTTACTGGGAAGAGAAATGTGCAACATTAGGTTAAATTATTTTAATTCTCTTAAAACATTTTTATACAGATAATTCTAACAATAATTCAGTGCTTTATTTCTCCGATGAGTCTCTAAGTTCTGTTTGAAAAGCCAGGCCAATTGTAGTTCTACAAGGAAAGGATGGAGAACAGTTTTGTTCAAGAATCTTGTCTTGAAACCAATATTCGACTGTGGCATTGCAGTCGGTTTCTATGTTTTGAGTCTGAGTAACTGCAACTTACTATCTGTGTGACCCTTGCTTTCTGCTGGTTTTGAACGAATCTCCTGCTGGTCCTCCTTGGGATCCTTGTCAGTCCCTGCCTTGCCCCAGGGACTCTGCCAGGCTCTGAGAGGAGCTGATGTC